CAATAATAAAATTATACTGGTATTCAAGTAAAGTATTACAGTACATTGTATATTCTATTGATATAATATAAATTGTTCTTGACGGTAATAAGGAATTACATAATATTCATTGACTTGAATGAAATTCTTACTGTAAAATTAAATCTAATCATTTAAATCATATATAAAATAATTAAAAAACATTAAAAACAATATAATCACATAAACAATACGACAACTTTGGTCACTGAATATCAGTGAAAAAAATACTTTCAAAAAGTTTTACAACAAAAACACGATTTAAAGGACAGAAAAGAGTTTCTTTTCAGTCTTGAAATCTTTTGGCGAAGGATTCAGATTCTTGTCGTCGATCACGATATCATTGAACGAACTCTTGAGGAAAAACATGATCGCAGTCTTTGCTGCGGAGGAATCACTAACACTTGGATTGGTTTTGATGTCTTCAACAAACATCTCAAACGGATTCTCACTAATCGTGTCGTGATTCTGGTTCTCATCGCTGGGCTTAACCTCCGATTCAATGGACACTATATTATCACATCTTTGCTTCTCTTCTTCGTACGAAAGTTTTGACATTTCTATCGCCAGTAATAAATCCATAGACGGGTCGTACGGATAGTTCATTGCATTACTATAATCTGCGATATTCTTAACATCCCTTTCCCTATCTTCCGTCAAATACTTGCACTTTAGAGAACAGAACTCATGCTTTTGTCCGGTCCTCGGGTTCTGAACTCTAGGCTTCGCACAAAAACGATTACTACAGACGTCGGGATCAGTGGGCTCTTCACTGGATTTGCTGGCGTTTGGCACCGACTGGTTGTTCATCACTACAACTGTCTTATCATCGCTGATCACTCGGTCGCTGTAATCGACGTGACAGTCGTCCGGCCAGTCGTATATCGCGAACAGATTATTATGTCTCCCGTTCTTGTCCTGAATCCATGAGTTCTTGTCATTTAATTCACTTAACGATGAGATGATGGCCTGACTCATGAGGCTATTGTCGTTCTCATCGCACGGGTTGTTTAGGTTCTCCATTGAGTCCAAAGCCAACACTCCGGGCAAACAGTGACGCCTCTGATGCTTATTAAAGCCGGGAGGGGTTTCAGGGGGTATCAGTCCGTTACAGACCGCTGACAACAGTTCCAGTCGTCGGGTCTTTACTTTGTTTGTCATATCAATGATATAATTACGGGAATTCCTTAAGTAATCAAAACTACCGCTAATTGTTTCCGATAATCGGTTGGCAATAATATTGAGATTATTTTCCATGTATTCAAACACAGCCTTATTATAGCCGTGATCCTCGAGATAATAGCCATAAACAGCTGATCCGCACAACTATATAATATTCAATTATATAATACTGTCTTATCTGCTAACCATTGAAATGAATGTAATATAATAATACAATACTCACAACATTACGGCCGCGAATCAACTCATAAGCCGCCAGACATAGGAAGTCATCTTCGGGGTCAACACTTTCGGCCGAATCGTTATCTTCGGACAACTGCACGGAATAGTCAAAGAGTTCCCTCTGTTTGGCTCGGGATCTGTCTATGAGTGACGTCTGTGTCTCGGCTGACATAATATTGAACTTATATTTGGTGTAATGAAAGACAAATTTCTTGAGTTCTTTAATCTCGCAGTTCTGCTGTTCGGCCACTCTTTTCAATAAACATATGTTTTGTTCGGCTCTTTGGGCGGCCTCTGAACGGTTGCACCGGAAGTAACCGCCGGTTCCCGAGTTGTGTTTCTTCCACGACTCGAGACATATCCAGCAGAAGTCGTACTTACACTTAGAGCACCGCAAATGGTTACAGCCCTCGGACTTCTGGATATAGGCCTTACATCGCGGACACTGTTTGGCGTTTCGGACTAACCATAGACTGTTGGCCGCGTCCTCTGTGCGCGAATACTTCTGCTTCAGCTCTTCGGCCTTAATGTCACTGATTTTGGTCATCCAGTCCTCCCACAGCTTGCAATCGCACGGACTGTGAGCCTCGCGCCTACACTCCCAGCAAAAGTTGTGTCCATCAGTGCACTCCACGGCGTGACTCACAGGCAGGAGGGCCGGCATATTGGCCAACACGTAGGACTGGTCGCTATTGGGGTGAGACTTTGATTCCGGCAGAAGTACGGCTTTATCACAGGCCGGGTGGGGACACCACTGGATGGTTGGGTTGCTCTCAATGAACGACTCGATGTCTTTGCGCATAAAACGGTCGATCAGTTCCCGGGAGACCACCGTTTCGATGATCTTATGGGTCACCAAATGGGAACAGTTAAAGGCCGGGCAAGTGATGGCCGACGTCTCGCCGCACTCTATCTTAAGCTCCAAATAAGTTCGCCAACAGTTAAGACAAAATTGATGGCCACATATGGCACCAATCCTTTCAGATGAACCCAACTCCAGGGAACAGATTTCACATGACTTTTGCTTTCCATTTGGAGCCACTTTAAGCACTTCATTGTCAGTGTTAATGACAATCAAATGTTTCTCCTTTGCGGTCAACTGTTCCGAGTCGTTGAACCAGTGGTCGATCAGTGACTCCTGAGACCAATCAAATGACCGCAAAAGCACTTCCGCCGAAGAGAGTGAGACATTCAACAAATGAGACGTCTCTGATGTCAACTGATTCTTAATATCTTGTAAATCATGCCATTTGAGTGGCAAATAGTCTTCATTTCTATTGATTTCCGCAACTTTAGCCAAAATAGCGTTTGAATGACTGCTGAAAACCATTTTGAATTCAAGATATCGCAAAACATCCAAATGATTGTACTTCAGGGCCACATCACATGCAGTGTCACCCAATTGGTTCTCAATGAACAGCTCACAGTCATTGTCCACAAGAATCTTCACGCAATCCATGAGGCCGTTGGTGACGGCGAAGTGGAGGGCAGTGTTGCCACTCCTGTCCAACGCGTTGATATCTACCGGTTCTACCGATGACTTCTTACTCGTGCTGCTCGTCTCACAAACCAGATTCCAGTCGAGAATCAATTGCAGACATTTCGCACGTCTTCCTCTCGAAGAGTCTTCGCTGTGTTCGCCTCTTAACGCCTCTCCAGTGGACTCGTCATCGTTGTGGACGGGTATCTGACAGACCAGATGTAGTGCCGTCTGATTAAACACATTCTTGCGGTTGGGGTCACCGCCGCAGTCATACAGAAGAGTTTTCACAATCGATGTCATCGACCACTTGCAACATAACAGAAGCGACGATTCCTGCCATTCATTGACGGAATCGTTTGGATTGAAAGTCTTGAGGACTTCCCGGTGCTCTTCAATCAGCTTCAGAGACGACGCCTCGTCTCCGTTCTCAACATATTTACGAAATTTACTGCTATTTCCACCCATTCCTCCACTTATGATATCAATGACACTTCAATCCACTTAAAGAATCTTCAGTTTGTTTGAGTTATAGAGCTTTTGGAACATTATTTTTATTTATTATGAAAAAAGTTGAGATTTTAACTGCAATTCAATGCATACATGAACTCAAGTAATACAAGAATTGGATGGAAACCCAAATTGTTTGTCAGTTTATCTTTAGAGCGAATATTATAAGTATGCGATGAGTGAGACGTTGGGATCACAACAATAATGGATGCGATTATGGATTCAGTGTTGCGTTGGAGGGGATTCTCCACAAGAATTTCATTTTTATTAATATATTTACAATATTTTGCATTTCATTTGTACTCACAAATTATTAGGAAAAAATTAGCATTCATTTGTAATTTGTAAAAATCAAATAATGTAATTGAGATGTTTTATTTTAGAGATTCATCTATTACCGAATAATTTTTTAAAATATGTGTTAGAAACTAATTTTATTAAAATATTAGCCTGAACAGGTATAAAAATATTTTTTTAATTCGTGTAAATCTAAATTGAATGCAATCCTAAGAATTTAAATGTTTAGAGAATATCCAGTGAAGTGCTCTTTAGAGGGTATAAAAGGGAAGTCTTTCATGTCTTTGAGTATCACTTATATCTAACCTTACATTCAATTATTTAGTGAATGCATTGCATGTCTGACTGTGCGATGGGATTGTGCGCACAGACACACACATCTCTCGCATACCGATCCACACCTGGATATAACAGATACCTGTCCATCAATTTTAGAAATTCATTTCATTTAAAGCAAAAAATTATAGAAAGAATGAAACAAAAATCCATAAAAATCTCAAAAATCCATACAAATCTCAATGCAATCCAAAAATACTGTACAGTATAACAGAATTTATCAATAAAATAACAATTCTTGAGCATTAAATACAAATAATGATACAAATTCAATTGAATTAATAAAATATAAAAAACAAAACAACATTTTATTCATTTATAAAAACATTAGAATATAATATATTTAATAAAATCTCTACAAAATATGACATAATATAAAGAATCACTCATTAGTTAACAGTTTATATGTATTCAAACAGATTCCTCTCTCTAAACACTCATCCCTATCATCACAGGAACTACACGTCTGTCTGAGCGGACAATTCAAACAAAACTGTGCGGATGTGTCTAAATATCCACTATTACTAAAGGATCCCAAATNGGGTGGGAATACCGGTCGTAATATACCGTACGTTAAGTTGTTTACTACAACTGTCTTCGAGAGTGAGTGGTGTCTGATTGGCTGACGGACTCACATGTCGTTCAGCGTATTGGTGCTGATGTCCGACGGAATGGGAGAGACCTCCTGATTGTCACCGTTAGGGCTGATGTCGCTCTCGAAACAGGAGGCGCCGATACTGAAGGGCGAGGGATCCGCTGACGGCATTTCAGTCACATTAAACTCGAGTTCGTCGGCCGGAGACACCACTCGACTCTCGGGACGGCTGACCGACCGGTCCAGCGATGGCTCCCTTGTGGTGGACGCGTCGTTGGATTGAGTGGTGTTGGAGTTGTCGGCCATTGACTGCACGGACGACAACGTGGGCAACGAATTGGTGGCAACGGTTCGCGACTTGTTCTCGATCTTCTTGCGCGCCATATCACTGGTCCGCATGTTGTCCATCACTGTCTGCATCTTTATTATCATACTCTCCGGTACTGTAAACCCCTGTCCCATATCGTTGGCGTTAACCCCCGGCGCGCCCTTATATTCCTCAGACTCGATGAGATCGAGAATGTCTTCTTTGATGAGTAGGTAAGCCCTTCCGCCCGCCGGTGGCATCAGATGGTTGTCGTGCAGCCATTGCTTGTCCTCCTGATCGCCGATATAGCGGAACAGATCCGCGTGTTTGGTGTACAGCCGGCCTCTGGTTGTGCCGAATCCGAGGGCTTTGTTAGCTCTCGAGCCCAACACGAATAGGGTGTCTGTGGAGAGTCGTTGCGGATCCCACTTCTTCGAGTCGCGCACCACTCGTTTGGCCGCTTCTGACTGAGTGTTGGCAGTCTTGGGCTGAGTCTTGACGGGAGTGGGGGTCCAACTGCGAGAGGAGTGTCCGCTCGAGTGGTTGTGTTTCTTAACTTTCTTTCGGCCGACACTAGGCTTAAGCGTATGGAGAGAACCGGCCTCTGAATCGCTGTCCGAATCGCGCACTCGTTTGGGTCGACCCACGGGCCGAGTGGTCGGCGGCTCTGGAATCGGATAATTGTTTTCATTGTCCGACAGATTGTCTCCATTCGTGAGTCCACTCATCGCCGGACTGTTAGATCGGGTGAGAAGAGCCGCGAAATACATTTTCTTCGACTCTTCCAGTATTTGTCTGCAGATGTGTTGCACGTGTTGTTCGGACACAGAGTTCGCGCCGTTATTGTTGCGGATGTTGTCGACGGCGGGTCTGAAGAAGCGCTCCAAATACTTCTCAATCACTTCATTGATCTCTTTGTTGATCAACGGCTGCAGCGTTTGGCGCAATATATTCAACGACTTCGCGGTACTCGTGGTTCCGCCCATCCGTTGTCTGTGCAATGATATGGCGTGCGAGCGATATGTCGACCGATTGGTCACAGAACTGGTGCCGAAGTTCTGCAGATTTATGTTCCGCATGTGAAACGTGTTGTCCCACGAGATCACACCTACACCTCCACCACTGGAACCACTCCTGGCCTCGGCTTTCATGGCAACCACTCTCTTATCAATACCACCGGTCGTGGTATTAGTCTTCGACGTGTCGTTCATTTCAGTGAATACTTTGGATCTACTGTTAGTCGACTGAACGCAGACATCGACTGAGGAACTGGTGATGAGTTCCGTTCGCGATGAGGAACTGGTGTCACAACCGCTAGTTCTGGAGCTCTTCTGGTGATGGGATTCGGGGATCTCTGTCGGGGAATAGACTCGTATCTCAGGTATCACTGCCGACATCGACAGCAACGGTGTACCGGGTCTTCAGCGAAGTGTAATCAGTGGTCAACCAATTGATCCATACTTTTCAATAGTAATAGCAAACCGTTGAATGCTTTGAGAGTCAAATGAATTGCATTTCCAGACAATTGGCGGCAAAAGCAATGATTTTGTGGTCTTTTACGACAAACTCATCACTTCATGCATTCAAATGAGTGGTAAATCAGAGGAAATCCATGGCTTTGCAAACCATTTGTCACAACAATTAAAGGATTTCTGAAGATATGTTGCAATCAAATGCCATTTCACTCAACACTTACGTCACACACAGTATGGGTTGGGGTTTGGGTTGTGTCCGGGTTTGCAATGATATGGCACTGAGATATCGACCGCGGGTTTCATTGTTTGCCATAACATTGAGCCTATAATTTATGGACGACTCGTGGCCTTCGTTCACACTTTTGGGCACAACTTGAATGGGTTAGCCCTCAAGCGATGGCTTCACTGCACGACTACAGGTAATCGACTCGTCTGGACGTGCGCTCATATAAAGCCCACATTACAGGCGTTTAGCAGTGAATTGGCGTTATTTTTGAGTGAATTTCACTGAAAATACCGTATTTTTCAATACATTTTCACTGCACTTATTGTTCACACAATTTGTTTGTTTTAATCGTTTATTGCTTTCATCTCTTAATCACATTAACGGTAAGTCTTCACACATTTACCCATTCATTGATCTATCGGTTCAGACATCGATGACTTGATCGCGATTTTGACATTTAATGAATGGTAGCACTCATTGAATGGCTATTAGAGCCGGTGTTAAGGCATATGCTGTCACTGTATGAACACAAATGCATTGAATGACCATTAGTTGTCTTTTCACATAATTAGTCATTAATCCCATGAGTAATACATTAATCCGTTAATCCATTAATCCATTAATGCATTAATCCGTGTATTAGATAATCCGATGACAAGTATACCGGCGCCAGACTTGCGCCCCCTTTGCAGCCCTTTAACTCCCATTCAGTCCTATACTGACAGTCAGTTTTGTTTGCTTTACTTTCTTATGATTAATGGGTTTTTGATTTAGTTTTCATTTCACTCTTTTAATCCATTCGTAAGGGATTATGGGATTAATGCGATAACCA